TTCAAGTGACGACACTTAGCCAGGTTAGACGCTATATTGAATTTAACACTGATGAAAATGAGGTTGTGACGGATAGACTTACAGTCTTTACAATGACACGCACTGTATAATAGTCCTAGATTATATAATTTTTGCCATCTCACAAATAAAAAAAAAAAAAACCTTTTGTCTACTGAAAGTTTTTATTTTATTTATTTTTTCAGAAAGATATTTGGTCAGCTGAACCGTCAGTATTTTTTAAACAACATTACAATCCCCTGAATGCACTGTATTTCAGTCTGTCACAGCCACATATTCATTCCTGTGGATGTTAAAACTTAATTTTCTGTATTTTTCGGTTTCATTTCCTGTGGAAATTAAACATGGCACTACCCTGACTACGGTCTGTATCCCCAGCAAACTCTGCAGTCCCATTGAGGGTGTATTCACACCTGTCTTGTTTGGTTCGATTGAATCGAACTCAAGTTCGTTTCCCGCTGTGGTGCGGATCTTTTGGGCAGGTGTGAATTCAGCAATCGCACTCGGGTGCGCACCAAACAACCATACCGAGACCCAGCTGAAGAGGTGGTCTCGGTCCGCTTCCAAGTGAACTCTGGTACGGTTGAATGGATGAACCAATGAATGGATGACCTTAAGCACACGTGGTTTTTTTTATTTACAGTTTCTGGTTCACTTGCAAAAAGGGCAGTGTGAAAGCGAACCGCACCAAACAAAAAAAAAATCAACTTTGTATTTGGTCCGGACCAAAGCAAGTAAACTAGCAGACTTTCCTCGTGTGAATACACCCTTAGACATTTGATAGCAACCACCTTTTTCAAGAGTAAATAAATAACAGATTGATTTGATCATCATATTTATGATGTATTTTATGCTGTAGAATAAAATGTGAAAATCTTGAGCTTGCTTGAACCACAGACCATATTTTAGTAATTTAAAGGGGTCATATGATGCAATTTTCAAGTTTTCCTTTCTCTTTGGAGTGTTACAAGCTCTTGGTGCATAAAGAAGATCTGTAAAGTTGCAAAGACTAAAGTCTCAAATCCAAAGAGATATTCTTTATAAAAGTTAAGAGTCAGCCACGCCTACCTAAAACGGCTCGTTCTAACACTCCCCCACATGTCTACCTCACTATGTGTAAATATTAGCATAATGCCGCCCAAATGTGCACGCAAAGAAAGAAGGCGTGGTTTCAGGAACAGCAATGTTGATGCAGCCATGTCAGTGAGACGCTGTGTTTCAGTGTGAAAGCAAAAGCACTTTATTTGGCCTTCCGGAAGTAGATGCAATTAGGAATCATTGGTTAAGATTTATTTACAACAGAACAGCACAACCCAGATGTTCGAATTTGTTCAACGCATTTTAGGGACGACAGTTTTTTGAACCTAGAAGAGTACAAGGCTGGCTGTGTGCACAGGCAATTTCTAAAAATAAAAAAAGGGTAAATTCCAACTTTGCTATGACAATCTGGCGCTTCTGAATCAGCGACTGTAAGTATGTTTTGTTATTAGTTTAAGTATTTGCTATTGACTGTTCAAATGCGGAGTTTTGCGCAGAGTAACGCGTCGTGTGTGTGTGAGGGGAACAGGGTC